TTGTCAAGTTTACTATTGTACCCTTATTTTTTGAAAAACCACAAATGACGTCTAAATTGTCGTTTCTATATAAGGCGGAGAAACTCTCCATTCTCGCCACTCTACACAAAAACTTTTCCTTTCATTTTATCCTACAAATAAGGCAAAAATTCCTCAAATTTTTTGGGTTTCCTTCTCCGAAAACCATTAACCATCATTACCCAAATCACTTCAATTCAAAATTCAAAGAGGTTACAGACCATAAGAGCAAAAATCGATTCTACTCTTCAAGTTCCATTGACGAAGTTATTGTTATAAATTTTATAAAATTTCAATTTTTGAATTGCATTTTTACTATAATATTTCAAAATTTGATGTTATTGTGAATACAATATAGTCTTATAATTTGAGAAAGTCGATGTATTACTGAGCACAATACTTTGATGTTACAGCAAAAAATTAAAAGTTTATGTTGCATAATATATGTATAAAAAGTTTGCAATTAAAAGTGAAAAAAGTGAATATTGGGGATGGAAAATTTTATGTATAGGGTAATCTTCAAATCATAAAATTGTAATATGTGTACTGTAATTGTGTTTGTCTGATGTTACTCAAGATGATGTTTCTGTGATTTAATAAATAATTTTAATCTTGCTATCTTTATGTTATATGTGTATATCTTGTAACTTGATGGAACTGTTCATGTTGCTTTTACTAAATTAATGTGTTATATAATTACATGTGAACATTTTTGTTGCTTTTTTTTGTTGTTCAAGACATTCAAAATTCATTGGTTTAAAAAAACATGAAATAGATTATGTTACTGTGTGATAACTGAAAAATTGATTTCATAATTTCAATGTATTGATCTGCTTGAGTATTGTGAATGTTACTATGGATACGTTACTGATCACAACCTTTGATTTTACTTTGAAAATTAAAGGTGTATGTTCAAAATATATCCCTCAACGTTTGGTTTTATTTTAATGTTCTGTGATCCAGATTTTGAACTTGAATTTGAGTTGTTAATGGAAACTTTTGATCTGAATTTGAATTAATAGCACAATAATTTTGTCTTAATTAAAGCATCATAATATGGTATATTTGATTTCCATAAAAAATTGAACAATCTGTTACCATATATATCTCAAACATCCAACCTGTGACTTTCCATAATTAACCAAAATGAACACCGTTATGGGAGTTTTTGAGATAAAAAAAAACGGATTTAAGTCATTACATATAATTTTAAATATGAACTTAGTCCCTCATAAATTTTTTTGCCGAACTTGTGTCCAAACAAGTATATCTAGGGGACTCATCTCCAATTTTTACCAAGTTAAAACACCTAAAGGGGCCCAATATAAAAAAGGCCATGAAATGGGCCCAAAGGATCAGTCAGTTACAAAAATGTGAGCCCAAACTTTAATGCACTAGTCTAGCTAACACATTCAACAGCCTTGCGTTGTGGAAAGTGGAAACCTTGTATCTGCAACTAGAGAAGCCAGAGTCAACCTTCTCCAAATTCTCTCTCCAAATATTCAGAATTTTCTATGGCTGCGAGTAACTTCATTTTCTCTCTCTCTCTTATATATATAGGTGTGTGTATTTATATATTGTATGCGTGTATATATAGCTGTTTGTGTAAATACATTGAAGGTGCCCTCCTCCCTATGCAATCCCAAATCGATCATGCTTGCCGATTCAATTTCTCAGGTTTTTGTATCTAGATATGTGAAGTTAGGTTTTTTTTGTCTCTCTTTTACTGTTACTATGTTTTTGATTTCTTTTGTATTTCCACTAAGTAGCTATTTGTGCAAGGTACACTGAATTTTCAGATTATATAGTCCGATGATTACGTTTTGGTATTTATCACACCACGTAGTTTTAGAGCTTCATTTAAAATTCCAAACTCGAACTTGGGCTCTGTTAGACCTAAGGTCAAAGAATTCTTAATGCAATGATTTTTCTGTTTTTTTTTGTACAAGCATCCAATGAAATTTAATGGCTTCGTAATATCACAACAACCAGATGAGGCCCTAATTGGACACCAGAGTTTATTTTATTGTTGATTATGTCAATTTATGTTTACCTGGTGTATCACACATGAATTTATGCATTTGTTTACATGTTTCTTGTATTTATAATCTGATAATTTAGTCATCTACTGAATATTTATTGTTGCGATTATTAAACAACAATAGTTGACTGGTACCTAAATGGTCATGTGGTTGAATATCTTATGGTGGAACTTACGTAATGATATACTAGTCAGACACATGGGTTTCGTTAAGATCCTCATATTGTTGGTTAGTACTGAATTTTGGATGTAACTTTGATAGCATTCATTCCCACATCATTATTTTCTCCATTGATATCCAATTTTTCTTGCTACTTTCTTGTGAAGGATTCCAAAAATGAGTCAAAAAATGTTCATGAGATAACAGCATGAATTTTTGGATCCTCATGTTTCTGTCTTTCAATGGGCATCGTCCCTCTTGGATGATTTTAAGAATATTCACTATTCGTTGGAGTACGATTGCATGGGCCATTTGGAATTTCATAAACAATTTTGTGTTTCATCATAAAGATCCTAACACACTAGCCACTCTGATGTGGGCTCAATTGTAGTGGTGTGATGCGAGATTTTCTGAGAAGAGTAGACAGGAGGCGCAACAGGTGGTTTTGTCTCATCCACATGAGCACCCCCCGGGCCACAATCTTGCTTATTTTCTGAGATGTGATGGTGCCTTCAAGAAGGGAGCTACAACCATTGGGGTGATTCTCCATGACTCACGTGAGATAATGGTGGATGGCATTGCTAAACGGGTTTTGGCTGTCTCCAGTTTCTCCTCTGAGGCCGCTGCTATCAGAGAAGCTTGTCTTTTGGCTTCTGCATCTGAGTTAAGGGATGCTACTGTGGTAAGCGACAATTTGGAGATGATCAAATTAAGCTCTTCTGAAGATACCCCCCATGGGAAATTTGTGCCTTTGTCAGTGACATTCGGTATTATGCTAAGGTTCTTAATTTAAGATTTTTACACAAGCCAAGGGCTTTTAATAGAACAATTCATTGGGTAGCAGTTATGACATTATCTAACTCACTTTCCGTTGAGTTGGGTGGGTTGTCTTCCTTCCGAAGTTAAGGCTTTTTTGTCCACTGATTGTAATCAGCATTTCCTACGTAATGATATTCTGTGTTTCTTTGTTTCAAAAAAAAAAAACCCAAAAATTGAATTGAAAAAGATGAAAAAGCAGTCGAGTGACATTATTCTCACCCTTTAAATATTCGTTTCTATCCCATTTAATCATTTTATTTCAAACTAATAAGTTCACCCCATCTATATATACCCTATTAATGACTAAGTTCATCTCATTTATATTCATCCTATTAAACTATTATATATATCTTACAAGGAAGTCAAAACGAAACAACAATTGAAGCAAAATTTCAATAATTTTAAGGTGATCTAAAATATTTGGAGGTGTTTTGAGATATTTTGACATATTTTCACCAATATTTTTGAAATATTTTGAGTTATTAAGATATTTTGACTAATATTTTAAAAATAAATTATTAATTTTTCATTTGTTTTTGAAACGTTTTGATACCAAAATAGTGCACCCCGAAGGAAATTTTGATCATTGTCTATATAGTAGGTTGAAATCAAATAAGATGAAATTAGTTTTTATTTGGTAATTATAGATATAGTAAGTTTAATAACTAATGCGATTGGTATAAATGAGGTAAATTTAATTTAAAATAAAGAGTTAAATGAGGTAGAAAAAAAGATCTAAACCCCACAGAATGAATTTAGTTTTTATTTGGTGATTATAGATGTGATGAGTTTAGTAATTAATAGAGTGAGTATAGATGGAGTAAATTTAACTTAAAATAAAAGAGTTAAATGGGAGTGAAAAAAAGAGATTTAACCTCCCCTAAAACAGACCCCTTCGTTCCATTCCATGAGACTTAGATTCTGTTGAAAAATGGAAAGGGGGAATTACATTCAACTCTTTTTTAAGTTTATCATTTTATCACTTAAATCTATTGATATTTGAAATATGATATACATATCTTTTAAGATTTGTATGTAACATTTAGATTTCTATTGTCAATGTTATTATATTTATTAAAATTACATTCAAATCTCCTAAAATTTATAAGTGTGTAATATTTAGGCTCCTCAAATTTAAAATGTTATATTTATATAAAAATATTTCAATTAAATATAGAATATCAAATATTTTAAATTTTACAACCAAAATTTATATTCTATTATGACATTTATTGAAATAAAATTAAAACTAAAAATCTAAAAAAATTATAATTAGTATACAATTATACTATCTATTGAAATTTAATTTGGTTATTTAAACGACCAAATTATTCCAATTAAAGTTAGAAGATATTGTGTCCACTATAGTTTGACCTTTTATTTGATTTTTTAATTTTATTCCAATCGATAGTATAATTGTATATTAATTATGATTTTTTAAGAAAAAATTAGATTTTTATTTTGATTTTATTTCAATAAATGTCATAATAGAGCATGAATTTTGGTTATAAAATTTGAAATATTTAATATTCTATTTTTGATTTGAGTTTTATGATTTAAGTATAATATTTTAAACTTAAAGAGTCTAAATATTATATATCTATAAACTAGTCATAAATCATGATTGAAATCACGATAAAATATAAAATTAAATATATGATAGAAATGAGTAGTGTAATATTTTTAAAGATGAAATATATAAATAATTAAATATGTGATTAAAATGAGTGATGTGATTTAATGTTTGAGTCTGATAAAGGGATAATGGATGACGTAAGTGATTGATGATGGTTTTGAGGAAGAAATTATGATTGAGATAAAATTCAAACACACTCTTATTTTATTATATAAATTTTAAGGGGTTTGAGTGTAATTTAAAAAAAAAACAGAAAAAAAATAAAGGGGACTCGCGTTCCTAATTCTAAATGAGAAAGCGTCAGGAAGGAGAGAGAAGATCGGGAAATGGCGAGATTCTCTCTGGGTGGAGAAGATGATAGCGAGGGACCCAGCAGCTCATGGCCCAGGCATAAGAAGCAGAGGACCATAGCTGGTATTACTCGGCCACAGCTGCAAGAAGACCATTACGACAACGAACGAGAAAACCCAGAACCAGTGGAAGAAGAAGAACAAGGAGAACAAGGAGAAGAAATAGACTCCGAATATCAAGAAGAGAGGAGGAGGAGGAGGAAAAAGAAGAAGAATTAGTATCCGAACGTTATGACGAGGAAGGAGAAGAAGAGGAGGATCGGAGTAGAACAAATGAGGGACGGGTTCGAAGCGGTGGTGGAAAGGGGCAGATCAAGGATGGTGAATTGGTGGGACCCAGTGGAGACGGTTCAATTCCTGTGATTCTAACCGACCCAGATGTGTTGGATTGCCCTATCTGCCTTGAACCCTTGAGCATCCCTGTCTTTCAGGTCTGTTAAACCTTGTCTCTCTTCCTCTTCTCTATGAATATGCAAGCGAGTCCGTTTGATTATGTGTGTATACTTGTGTCTTTGAATTGAACCAAGAGAAATTTTCTGATCATTGGTATTGGAAATGTATCAGCACAACATATGAGAATTGTGTTGTTAGGCATTATTGTGGTTTTCTCATGGTTTTATGTTCATTTGGAGGTAGTCTCAGAGACTATGTGGCTATTTTTATACCCTAATGGGCAACCGCGTTTCTGGTTGAGTGAAGGAAAGGTCTACCAATGAGAAGGGTAGTGTGAGTGGAGTGGTTCTGTTTCAAGGGGGAAAAAGTTTATCAGGGATAGAGCGAAGCTAAGTGAAACCTTAGGGCAGAGTGAACCCCTTGTTGGCCATTTTTTGGTATTAATTTTGAAGGAAATGT